GCAGATTTTTAGGCAGAGTACAAACATCTACTCTTTGGTTTTATGCAGACTTTTCTCTCCAACCTGTCTTGAATAAAGAGTCTCTTCTTAGTTCTGAAGTTGCACATATGTATGCTGTTTGCAGTTTTATGGCTTTGAAATTGTAGACTCACTCAACATTTCATTTTCCTAAGAGAAAGACTTGGGAAGCTGGAGAGAAGGGACCTTTGCCCCAGCATTGTTCTGGTACACCCAAGGTTGGAGCTACTCCTTGCTGCTTAGTCTAGAACACACACTTTCATAATGAAATTGTTAAGGCTTTCTGGACAATAAAATAGGAGTCTTTGAGCCTTGGTTTGGGCTAAAGCCAAAAGAGTCTGAGATTTTATAAGCCAGGAGCCTAGATGTTCTGACCCATTTGCCGATGAATAAAGATTTAAGGTAAGGTGTTTAGGGGTTGAAGTGGGAGGGCATAGGCAAAGTTTTCTTGAGAGTTTCTGACTTCTGTAGCATTTCCTACAGGGTAAAGAAAGATATAATTCTCCTTTCAACTTCAGCCAAAGGACCAGGGGTGGAGGGAGCCATTGTGGAGGACCTCATCCAAGGTCCCTGTTGTGGGTGGTGGTCATAATGATTGGGGTGTGACTAGTGGGAAGAGGTTGAGGTTACTTGTCTAAGGAGGGAATGAGAATTAAAGCAAGAAAAATTGGGCTGCACTTGGAGCTAGCCACACATCTACCAGCAGCAGGGACAAAAAATATATTTCTCAATGGCCAGATAATGGACTTAAGAAAAAGCCTGCCTAGAGATACCCAGGTAAGAGGTGACATGTTAGTTTTCTATTGTTGGTGTAAAAAATTATCATAAAATTGTGGATTAAGACAGCAGGCATTTATTCACTCACAGTTCTGGTCATCAGAAGTCTGATATTGAGGAGTCAGTAGGTTCATATGGAGGCTCTTGAAGAGAATCCATTCCTTGCATTTTCCAATCTCTACTAGTTGCTGATGTTCCTTGAATTGTGGCTCTATCACTCCTATCCCTGCTTCTGTGGTCACATTACCTTCTCTTCTGTCTTTGTCAAGTTTCCTTTTGCCTCTGTTTTCTAAAGACACTTGTGATTATACCTGGACAACCACAATAATCTCTTCATCTCAAAATTTATAAATGACTTCTTCAAAGTACTTTTTTTTGACTCATGGAGTCAACTACAGACTGCATCAGAGAGTTAATTGGATGGACCAATATATGCCAAGGGTATTGAAGCTCAGGAAGCCTCCCACATGAAGTGAAGGCTTAAATAACTCTGATTTCACCTATAGCTGCCAGAGACCCTCCCTGGAAGTGTTAGACAGCTGTGTCTAACACTAAAAGACAGCATGATCTTTTTTTCTGTCTCAGAGACTTGCCCAAAGCTCCTTTTCAGGAGCCTGAAGGAAGGAAGGTATAGTAATTTCATCCTAGGGTCAACCATCAAGTAACAGAAAAGGGATCAGCTTGCTGCCTTTCAACCAAACAGTTCTGAGAGGTGTGGTTAATTTTTCAGACCCTGCTAAAATGGAAGCCCCTTTGCTTACAGCATTGATCTCAATAATGCATCTTTTTTAAAAAATGACTTTTCAACTTTTCTTTCCCTTATATCTGAGTGTGGAGATCACCTTCCAAAGAGGCTACCAATGTTCAAATGCTTTGCTCAATATGCTTTGAGAGATGATAAAAACAGAAAGCTCTCAGAAGCCACAAAAATGCACCATAGAAGTCAATATACCCAGTGGTCATCTTCGCAGGATGACTTCTGTACTAGTTTAGTCAAATCTTTCCTTTTCCTTAAACCATGCTCACACCACACCCCATTCCCTTCAATCATGCAGAATCCAGAGCTAGGCAGAGCCGAGAAAGGAGAGAAAGCAGCACAGTTCACCATCTCCACACTACGTCCCCCTTACTCTTGGGGGTCTATGTTGAAGCAAGCCAACTGCCACTGACTTACTGTATCTGGTCCTTTGATATCCTACTTATTGTTTGTCAACCAATTTCCTTTGCTAGGTCCTCTTTTTTCCTAGAGGTAAAAACTGTTCATTAGCTGGCATCATAATACTATATTTCTGCTTCAAGTTCCCCTGCAAATGGTTATAGTACCAGAAGAAGTAACCAGAGCATTGAACTGCATGTCTAGAAAATAGGAGGAAGAATTCTGCACCCACAAAGTATCTGGGAAGATGAAATGAGCAGCCCTAGAAAATGACTGGAACATAGTGGATGCCCTAATAATGGGGTCTTCTCTCCTGATGCTCTATGGCTACTGGGACTGCATTGGGCTTATTTTTATTACCCAAATTCCTGGCTGAATGCCTGGGACATAGTAAATCCTCAGTGACTGGTGGGTGGAGAAACGAAGGATCTGGAAAGCACTCCTTAATCATGGCCCCAGATACTACAGGTGCCCTGCCCCTACCTCCTCAGGCCTTCCCAGAGCTGTTGGCAGGCAAAGCTACTAACTGAAAGCATCTGCATCTATTTGTCCAAGGGCTTTCTTTGCTGGTTCCCCCTGGGTATGTGTAGGTTGGAAGTGCAAAGAATGAGAGTATCAAATTATTGCCAAGAGTTGTGTGTACCAGCTTTCTTGTCCCTTGGGTGGAGTAACTATGAGGTACAAGTTCTATCTGCACTACAGAGACCCTCAACAAGGTTGAGCTATAGTGATCCCCAGGAGTAATGACCTTGCACTGGCTTTCTGCCTGCTTATACATCTTGAGATCCCTTACCAGATAAACTACTCACGCTCAATCCTTGTATTATGGCCAGCTTATAAAGGAAACTAAAAAAAAAATCACATAACTTACATTTAGAATGTTTGTGAGGCTCTCTGGAGTGAGGCCCTTTCCTTCCCTTTCCTCTTTCTCTTTGGTTCAGATTTTTTTAAATGAGTAAATTACTTGGTGTGACAGTTAAGCTTGGTTGTCAACTTGACCAGATTAAGAGATCCCTGGAGGGGAAACGGCGTGCTGTAGTCATTATGGATTAATCCATGGATGTTCATAGATGAATGTGCTATTAGAAGATGGGGTCCAGCTGGAAGTGGGTCACCAGAGGTTTGCCTTGGGAGGGACACCTCACACTAATGCTATCCCCTGTGCTCTGCTTCCTAGCCACCATGGAATTAACAACTTTACTCCATTATGCCTTTCTACCAAGACACTTCTGCCTTGCACCCTGAACTAAAACCTCTGAAACTATGAGCCTAATTAAACCTCCCCTTTTCTTGATCTTAGCCGAAAGGCTAAGAGAAAACCTGCAGCTGTTGGGTATTGTGTCCCTCTGTCAGGAAAGCTGACCAGTGTACTTGGCCTAACTCACATTCACAGTGGGCTGTACACTGTAGAGGAAGGGGAGGGAGAGGAGAGTGAGCCAGGACTGCAGTAGCCCGGTAGCTGCTGTAGGAATATGAGACTCTGTTTTCTTTTCATGGCTATGTCCTTAACTTGCTCAGAAGTCACTATCCTGGTCTGATTTGCCTGCTACTGCAAAAAAGCCACTAAATATTGTTACTTTTCTTTTTGTTTCTATTAGGAGTGAATCTCTTTGGGGACTGTCTGTACATTTGCTGTGGGTCAATGTGTTCTTTGCCAAATGATGTGGGGAACAGTACAAGATGGTATTTTGTCATAACCAGGACACATCAGTGGTTACAGGTAGGAGGCTCTTCCCACTTTTGTCACTCACCTCTAGCTGCTCTCATGATGAAAACTGCCACAGAGGAAGCACTGGATAAAAGGCCCAGAAATGGGCATTTTAATCACTGAAACCTCTGAAACCTTTCAAAACCTTTTAGGCTTTGAAACCTGCTTTCAAAGCCTAAAAATTCCTCCAAGGTCTTCCAGATTCTCTTGCTATATTTTACCATTCCCCACATCATTTTAAAAAATTAACACTTTACGTACTTAAGTTGGATTTTTAAGGAGGCAAATATGATCTTTTCCTACCAGATCACTCAGCATTTTAGTTGGAAAATTAACTTCAGGGCATAGAAGTCACACAGATTATCAGCCCAGTCATCCTCTCATTCCAACTGATGAGCATGAATTTTTAAAGGCTATTCAAAGCTACCAATTGTGATATTCATTCTGGGTGCCAGGCCCTGAACTACTCCCCTAATGGACATTATTTAATCTTCACATTAACTCTCTGAAATAGGTCTTGTTCTTCTGGGTTTTCAGCTCAACAAAACGAATTTGTAGAAATCAAATAGCTAGAAGTTTGTAGAGCTGGAATCCAGCCTGGCCCACAAGGTTAGGTCATGGCCCTCTTGCATGCACCTTGTCCATCGATCCACCCTTTATCCCCAACCTCTGATTTGGCTGTCAAGGGAACCAGAGAATCTAAACATTTTACCTTCTGTCTTAGGAGGCTGCTATCTTCTACCTCTCTCTGTGGGTTCTAAGGGAAATTTCCCAGAGCAGTAGGCTGCTGGTGAAGGATGGGGAAGGTTTACAGTACTGTGAAGACCCCAAATGGCTTTTTAAAGTACCTAGCAACTAAAGTACCTAGCTTCAGTACAAAGATCATCCTTGGTGAGGAGCCTGGATCAGTCCTGTTCCTTCATTTCCTGGCATGGCAAGCTGTGGTATGTTGCTGGTCACTAAGGATGAAGTATGCGTCACAGGATCTTTCCTAAAAGTTTTATTTGTGCAAATTCTGTTTGAATTTTTGTCCTTATGGTCTTCTGAGGGGTCCTGCCTACCCTAAATGCCCCTTTCTCCCCAGCTCCAATGTCTGTAGGAGCTAAAAAAATCCCAGTTCATCTTGAAAGGGGAACCTTTGGGAGAAGCCACCTTTATTAACTCAGGAATTGGTCACTATGATGACAAGTTTGTAACAAAGTTTGAGTGACCAGTCACCAGCATCTCCTATGTGGTCCCCTCAACTAAGCAGAAACTGTGAGATTGTTTTCTAGGACAGATCTGTAGCTTTGCCCACTTTCTATCACAGGCATAAGTGGAAAATCTGCAGCAGGCTCTTGATCTGGCTGAGGAAATTCTTTATTAAGTGAGGCTATCTTAGCATGAAACCACGAGCAGATTTTTCTGGTGATCAAGATCCTATCCATGGCGACTTTGAAGCAAGAAGATCAATATGGCAACAATTAGGCCAATCACAAGTAAATCCCAGTATGGCCCAAGGGTGCTCTCCAATTTCATCCATTTCCATCTTGTAAACTGCTGGCAAGAGAGATTTAGTTAGCCTCAGACTTCACTTAGAACTATTATCTCCTCCCAAACCTACACCACCAGCACCTGACAAAACCTTGCTTCCGTTAGGGGCTGGGGATTTAGCTCAGCGGCATAAGCGCCTGCCTTCAAGCAGGCAGTCGTGAGTTTGATCCCTGGTACCAATAAAAAAGACAAAAAAAAAAAAACTTGCTTCCCTCAGTCTTAGAAGATGCATTTTTTATGACTTAATGCTCTCACAAGGGCTACCACCTTGAGAATAACCTAAAAGATTTATAAAATTTTATTTCTACTTTTTTCAAAGTATAGCTCTTTGTCATACCACCTGCCATCTGCTTACTCGTCTCAGATTTTGATGGCAAGAACTATGTTTTTAACAAGTATATATAGCACATGTTACTTTGCTTAAGGCTTTGTACAAAGCATGTGCTGAAAATAATATCTGCCGAATGAATTCACTGGTTGTACTACAAAGTGTCAACACATACTCAATATAACCAGCAGAATTGCTGTGTACTTCTGTACTGTGTGATTGTACTAAGGCTTTGAATTCCACTTATCAAAAGAAAATCAGTCCACAGAAATATTTCCCTGGTGGATCTCATTACTTTGTTCCTAACAGTGACTCATTGGAATCTTCAGATTCAGGGCCTATTTGAGACAAACTTACATTAAAAAACAGGATCTCTCTGATCAGAAGCATAGTTTCCAATTTCATGAGGGCAAGGAACACAGGTACGTGAGCATCTGGACTCGTTTGAGCAGCCATGTCATACAATCTCCTGGCCAAGTGAATGTCCTAGAAACAGAAGAATGGTCCACTCTCATTAGGCACAGATCCTGAAGGAATGCATAGATAGAAATATCATAATTTACCCAATGACCTCACCATAAAGTGTCCATTCCCTGATCCCGAGAGCCTGGGACTATGTCATGCTATATACAAAGGGTACTTTGCAAACATAATAAAGTTCCAGACTTTGAAATAGATTATCCTGGACTCCCCATTTGAACTGGTATCATCATAAGAGCCTTGAACATGGGCCTAAAGTCAGATTAAAGTGAGAGACATGTGGCAGGAAGAGAAGTCAAAGAGATTCAAAGCATGCAAGGAACTCAACTTGCTGAGAAGGGCCCATGTATAATGAAGAGAAAGAATCCTGATGCTTGCAAGGAAGCAGGGACCACCACCCTACAACTTAAAGGACCTGAATTCACCCAACAACCTGAATGAGTCTGGAATGAATCTTCCTTAGAGCCTTCAATAAAGAACTTACCCTTGATTTTAGCCTGTGAAAAGGACCCAGGCAAGCCATCTGAAATTTTAACCATGAGATACAGAAACTATGAGATAAAAAAAAATGCATGTTGTTTTAAGGAATATGTTATGGTAGTCAGAGAAAACACAATTTTCAAAACCTATCACGGACCAGCTCATATCTGTGATTCCCATGAAAGGGGCAGAGACTAGATACTAAGTCCCCTAAAATACAGACGGTAAATAAAAATCATTATGATTATCTTCCAAATACTTGAAGTTAAAAAATTTGTTTATTCACTAGTCTGCCTCCAGACTTCTGAGGACAAGGCATTAAACTCTCTGTTTACCCTCATATTTCCAGGGTGAAGTAAGTGGCTACTACCGAATGAATGAATAAACTACTTTGGTTCTCAGGTTAGAATTTAATTCCTCAAGTGGCCGTACTACTATATTTTCAGGGACTGTCTTCATTAAGTTACACCGTGGCAGATAAATTTTATTTCTTTAATTTTTATCTACTTATGGCTTATTTTGTTTGCTTTATCCTTGCTTTGTTGCCCAAAGAGTAATGGAAAGGATAAGAAATATTACTTTCAAAGTATGAAGCGTCCCGAGCATATCCCAGAATTGTGTTTCGCTTGAGTGCCCATGGATTATTTTCAAAGAAAGGAAAGATGAAGAGAGACTTTTCAAAAAAAATTTCCATACAAATATATATATATATTATCTTTTCTGCTCTATCACCTAAGCTTCAGCAGTTGTGAATCCTTCAGGGCATTTGCTAAACCCGTTTCTTGGGAGGTGTCTTCTCTCAGCTGTGTTCTGCTTGTCACTACTTAAATTTTTCAAGGCCTTGAGATTCTTTGGAGAAAGAAGAATGTTCCTGCTTAAAATATTTAAAATTTGGGAGGTTGTTTGGAATGAATCTTCCTAGCAACACAGAAAATAGATGCTGCAGAAACTCTAATTTATGTCTCTGGTTCCAACTCCTTAGCCGGCGTTGCTATGATAGCACCCTGCAGATTGTGATGGCTGCATCAACACCACATGGGGATGGCATACTGACTAGAACAAGGTCATTTAGGGAAAAACAGGTTTTGTCAATAGCTCAGACATTCATTCTTAAATTAATAGTTACTAATTTATTTCTTGAAGCACAAATATCACCATCCAGTCACCTAGTTTATAATAAAAAGTAGCAAGAAGTACCATTAAAATGGGATGGGATATGAAAAATACTTCTTTAAAATTCTCAAAGAAAAAAATTCCTGAATGCTCCTGGCCAGCTAGGGCAGCTCGCAAAGAGAAGACTCTATAGCTAAGCTTCAGAGGAGATTCCTCGTTCTTTGACCCTATATAGTAAAAAACTCGAATCCATTCAACACAAAATTTCTTCTTGGTAAATAGGAAATGCTGTTTTGAGGAGGTCCAATTTCAGTAAATAAGAAGTCCAGGGGCTGGAGATTTAGCTCAGCGGCATAAGCGCCTGCCTTGCAAGCAGGCATTAGTGAGTTCGATCCCCGGTACTGATAAAAAGGAAAAAGACAAAAAAAAAAAAAAAAAGTCCACTGATAGCTAAACTACTTAGATATAATTTATCTGTGGTATATTTAAATTTATTTTGCTTTCAATTCAGTGTTTTAAGAGGTTGTGTAAACCAATTTGCAGACTTCTAAAATAACCTGTCTACCTGAAATGTCAGGAGTGCCACAGTTCTGCTTCATGTTCAGATGTTCACAACAGCTTCTTACAATTCACAGATGCATGATTTGCCAGCAATAAAGTGAGATACAGGATTTTCACAAGCCCAATTTCTTGGATGTCATAAAAAAGTCTTATACTTGGAGTGAACATGTGAATGGAAAGGTAATTATTTGAGCGACTTACTTTTTATTTTGCCATTTTTTCTATGCTGGTGACTGGAGTCAGGGTCTTGTACATGGCAGACAAGTGCTCTGTCTCAAGCTATACACCCCAACCCTATTTTCTAAGAATGTGTCATATGTTGATTAGAGAAGATTGAAGATACAGAACTGAACCAATAGGAAAAAAGGCTATCCGCAAGCCCATGTGTATACAGGAAACTACTGATAACATTTATACACATTCTTTATGTATATATGCTCGATATATATATATATATATATATATATATATCTCCTTTAATTTAGAAATTTTGAAATTCCACATAATATTTTATCTTCTGCCAATCTAACAATACATTTTAGAAATATGTCATGTTATAGTATGTCCTTCTAATGAATAGTATTTTTATTAACTATATGATATAATGACTAATATTCATTATGTACTATGTATAAATAAGTCACCAATATCTTTTAATCATTGTGGTAATTCTTTAGTGCAACTGATAGTAACAACTTCATTTTAAAGATGAATATACTGAGGCATAGAGAAATTAGGTCAGCTACCCAAATTCCTGACTTTTTGTGGAACTGAGATTCAAATCCAGAGAATCTGCTTGTAGCTTGCTCATTTAAACAATAGGCATAAAATGCGAACCATTGCATAATAATCTGTATAACATGTCTTCTATTTTGGAGCAGTTTGGTTTTAAAGTGTTTCCTGTTAAAAAAATCCCATATATATACATATATGAAATGTATGTATACATATAATTTTTCATATATTTTTTATTATTAGCTAATAGACATTTCTTTATGAAAGATTATGACTGATTCTATTAAGTATGTGCCCTACCCTGCCTCATTTGTGGATGACCATTTTAACTATATCATTTTAGCTTATTCTTTCTGCACAATAATATCATTTTAGTGCCTAAAACTTTAGCTGTAACATTCCATAGGTGGCCAGACTAGACAAATGGGAAATATAAAATCTTTGTGCCATAATTAATTTTTACTTTTGACACATCTATTTACAATGTATTAGAAGTGTAGTTTCATTTTCTCTGCAGGACTTGTCAAAAATATATTTTATCCAGTAGGTCTAAATACATATTTGAAATTCATCTCCAAACCCTCACTTTATGTCTTTCTTTACTCATACTCTATATCACAAAAATATTTTAGAGAATGACTTAAGAGTCCTAATTCCTTATCCTATGAAATGATTTTTTCCTCTTGTAAATGTTTATAGTTCTTACTTTTAATTCTTTTCGTGTGTATGTGTGTGTGTGTGTGTGTGTGTGTGTGTGTGTGTGTGTGTACCAGTTTGGTCTTTCACTATAGCTATGGACATATTTCTCCCATAGGATACTATAAAATCTTTGAAGACTGTCTTATTCTGCTCATGTCCCCAGTACAAAGCATAGTTCAAGTTAGTAAATGAAGGAATGAAAAGCAGAGCATAGTTTAATGGGAGTTTAGAAGTAGGTATTTTTTAGAATTTTTTAAAAGAAAACAAAATAAAGCAGAATAAAGCAAATCGGAACAGAACTATGCAAGCGATACAGAACTTCAAAACAAGACAACAGGAAATCAACAATGGTTACCATGTCTCTTGATGTCTTCAAAATAGCTGCCCATACCATCACATACAATAGACTAAAACAAAACAAAACAGAACAAAACTAATCAAAACAAAAGAATGAAAACATTACATAAGATAATAGGAAATGAACGATGAATAATGAAAATGAGGCATTATGGTAACCATTGTTGATTTTCTGTCATCCTGTTTTGAAGCCCTGTAATGCTTTCATTCTTTTGTTTTGATTGGTTTTAGTCTATTTGTATTCTTTGATTTTATAATGTGTGAAGGTATGGGTATAAGTAGATATACTTTAAATCTTGGGGTTCATTGAAAGATTCATAGAGGTGATGCCATTGGAGCTGTTTCTTGAGAAGTTTGCTGGTCTTTTATGGGAAATATCATAAATATGGGAAATCATCATTCCAACAAAAGGAATGATATGAGCCAGATGTGGTGGCATACACTCATAATCCCAGCCTTTGGAGGCTGAGGCAGGAGGGTTGCTATGAGTTCAAGGCCAGCCTGGGCTATGTAGTTCAAGGCCAGTCTAAACTGCTTAATGAGACCCTGTGTAAAAAAATAAAAATGATACAAAATGAAAGTCAAGAAAGCTCAGTTTAAGATCTTTGGAGGGAAGAAATGATGCATAGCTGAGAGAGTATAACAGGAGAAAAGTAGCATATTATTATTATTATCGTGATAGGTTAGGTCAAAGAAGGTTTTGAATTTGAAGAATTCCGGGCTTATGTCTCCAATAAGAATATAAAGCCAATATAATATAAATTGATAAATTACTATCAATTTATCTATATCTGTCATCTATCTATCTATCTATCTATCTATCTATTTATATTTTTGTTTCCTTCCTGCCTGCATAGGTAGACAGGATAACAGTACCAGAGTTGTATTTTGTCAAGAAACACATGGTAGTGCTTTGTTAGATGAATTATCTGTAAGGTAATGCTAATATCTGAAACAACCCCCCAGATTTCAATAGCCTAACTCCATAGAAGTCTGTTTCTCCCTCATTCAGCATTCCGACCTAGATGTTTCTGGTTGGTGATAAAGTTTTTACACAGCATAGAATGCTTTCCTAATCATCCTGTGTTTCTCAGACTGTTTCCACCGTGTGGTTCTGTAATTCCCTAAAGCCTCTGTGCCCTCTGCTGTGTGGAAGGGGAAAGAGATGAGGCAGGGGATCCATTTACTTTTTAGCGGCTTTCATCTACAAATGACATCCTCCTTTTTTTAAATTGCCATATCACTGCCAAGAACTAGGATGCAGAGTACTGGGAAATGTAGTCTTTGAGTAGGCTGGCACACGCCACCAACTATCTTAAGGATTGGCATTTCCAAACCTGGTGGGCAAAGCCATCTCTGTTACAGAGTTAAAGGAAGAACACTAGAACAGGAAACTCCAAAGTAGCATTTGCAACAAACCTTGGTGAGAAGAAATTGAAACCTGAAACAAGTTATACACAGAAGGAATGGCTAAGAAGGATGTGCAGCAAGTTCTCTTCATGGTTACATTTTTGAACTAATTCTGTAACAATGACGGATTAAAGAAGAATTTCACAAAAGTTTGTGAGTTGGACGCTGATAATTCTAAACTAGTCTATGTTGTCTCTTTTTTCCTCTCCAGGCGTTATTGTTTTGTGTTCCCAGAACAAGGATGCAGGCAGTAATGGTCCTCAGTTTAGGCTAAGCTGCTAACTGGGCTGAGATAATGCTTAGTGAAGTTATTCAGACTCATCCTCATCTTTAAGCCCTAGCTTTCTTTCTGTTTGTTTGTTTTTGGTCCTGGGGACTGAGCTCATGATCTCATGCTTACTAGGCAGGCACTTATGCTACTGAGCTATATTCCCAGCCCCTAGCTGTTTTTCTTAAAGATGGATGAGAACAACAGTGATCTGTATTTTTACATCGACTTATCAAGAGTTTCTTCTCCAGAGGTCTTAAATGCAGAGTTTATAAAGCATAATTTTACCAACCTTCTTTGATTTTTCAGAGAAACTCTAGTAATGATATGATGCTCATCATTCTCACTGGTGATTAACTGACAAGGATTGCTAAGTGCCTTGCTGAGGAAATGCTTACTTACACAATGACAAATGCTAGGAAAGTCTGTTGTCTTAACCTCTTTGCTCTTGTTGGAACAAGCTTTGGGATTTTAATTATCAGGATATTTATTTTAAGATTTAGAATCTCCTTGTTAATTTAAATGTGAGGTGGCAAGATTTTAATAAATTTTGCCCCTGGGCACTCATGATTATTTTTCTAATTGCCAAACAAAAGAAATTTGTGAAGACAAAAAACAATAGTCCTTCATTAGCTTAATCTGAAATGCTAATATCCATATCTGAGATTAAGAGCAGCCTCTGTTTTTTTTAATGTAGAGACTTTCTGTAGGAAAAAAAAATTTTGACCAAGAAGACTGATCAAAGTGAACTACCCATGATTTAACAGGAACCCTAGCAGAACAGAATAAAAAATGGCCAGAGGGAAACTTCAAAGATTTTTCTTCTGAATGTATGAAATGGAAGCCTTGACAGCTGCTATTTGATACTGTGAATAAAGTGTCTAGCAGAGAGGTGACATTAAGCAGGAAATCCAGAGCCTCTGACAGGACAGAGTCCCCTCTTTCACCATTTGCCCAGTGTTCTGAGAGGATGTCCCTTCCTGCCCTTGGCGACTCAGGGCAAAATGACCTCACTGTGGTGAGAATGTCACTGTTTTTTTGAATCACGCAGGTGGGAGAGCTAATTTGAATTAACATGGACTGTGGTTGTTTGTGTCCTTTCTACAAATGATTTTCCTTGCAGGTTATCATATTTTGCATAGGGAGTGATTAGTAAAAGCTTTTATCTTATTGAAGACAATTTTTCAGTTGCTCTAATTTCCTTCTGATTTAAATGACAGTCATTCCATACCCTGTTGAACTACAAAGCCCTTTCACACAGGTTTATTCATGTTACCTTGGAGCTGGGGGCAGACTAGGTATTATTAACCTTGTTTTAGTGGTGTGGATGACAGTGGGGAAGAGCGAGTCACCAAGTAACACTGAAAGAATCACTCAGTGTAGCTACTTGGTTTGGTCCAGGCTTCCTCGAGTTTTACAAACACGGATAGTTCATACCTGCTAGGAATGGGACAATGAGCTGAATTTCAATTTAACATACTTTCCACTGCATAAGGTAACAAAGCTGATGAAAAATGATCGGCCAAAAGGTAGGAGGACAAGACAGCAGGGATCTGTACTGCTGGTTGATAGGTACCTCAATAAGAAGCCTTTTGCTACCTGTGCACATTTTTCATCAGTTCTCAAGTAGATAATTTCCTACCAGTAATTCTCAATTACTAGCACAACTGGTAGGAAGAAGAGAGCATTAAGAAGCCGATAATCTCCATACTATTCAGCTCTAGAAATGCAGCCAGGAATATAAACAGAAAAGAGAAACACATGTTTGAGCACTCAGAATGACTCAGTATAGCCTCATCTGCTTAAGATCAGATAGGCCTGAACCAAAATTCTGGTTCTACCACTGATGAGCTTTGCAAGCTCGGCCAAGCAACTTAACCTCTTGCACTATGGTTTCCTGATGCACACATCGAGGAGAATTATAGGGTTAACTTCATCAAGTGGCTGTGATTTAAGAGTCATAGTGCACATAACACCTAATCCAACACCGGGCTGACTGGAGACCCAGTGCTGTCTTCTACCTGGTTATACTGGCTAAGGGCTGGGTGGGAAGGGAATATTTACAAATGTTTTGCCCACTAGCAAGCACATTGTAGTGATAACTCTTTTCATAATGCCTCAAAGCAAATGTAATCATAAATAGAAGACTAGGTCCATTCTCTCAGACCTTTCTGGAGTGTCCAGTACTGTGTATGGACACAATGTGTGCACAATTCATTAGACATTTGTGGATCAATGGCTTTGGTCTCCAGCATTAGAATCATTTCATTTTGTTTTTGTTACTGAAAGCTTGAGGATCAGTGAAAATTTCAATGGAAAAAAATAGAGGAAAAAATATGTACTAGAAAAAGAAGAAACACGTGAATCAAATTGGGCTAGATGGCTTTTCTTCTCAATAATTATTTCCTTGGAACAAATGAATAAAATAGTATAACCCTCACAGAATTCCTATTATGGTTAAATAATATGTGTTGGAGTATGGAAAGAACTCAGCAAACTCTACATCTTTCCCTTCCTCCCTCTCCATTGATGACATCAATGAATTTAAGAACATTTATAAATTTTCCCTTCCCACATAGCCCTCTCTACTAGGTTTGAATGAATGCAATTACCTTTACAATACCTAGGCCGTGTTCATACATATAGGCCAGATTGAACATGGCTTGTGCGTTGTGATATTTGTTGACTGCAATGCTGTAGTGCATGGCTGCGGTTTGATAATTTTTCTTAGTCCCATAGCCATAGTAATGGTAATCTCCAATTTTTACTCTAGCAAATGCATTACCTGGTAGAAATAGTAGAAAGAAAAAAAAATAAGTCCAGTGATCCCATGTGTAGTTTCCAGAAAGTCTAATAATCCTGAAGTATATATATACATACAAATTACGTATTATGTAAAATATATGCAATTCTCACTCAGAATATTGGAATCAGGATTAGATATACTCTATGGAATGCACTCAATGCTAGTTAGTTGTCTTCTTTGTATGATAATATAAATGTTCTTAAGAAACAATAAATAATTTTACCCTTTAAATTCATTTTTTGGAGGTAGATAAACTCTAGGGAAACTGAATCCCATCAGCATCATTCTCAGTTTTCCCTTTCTTCTTCCCTCTCTCCCTTCCTTTTTATTTTCTTTTTCTCTCTTTTCTTTTTCTTTTTTTCTGGGCTGGGATAACACCCAAGCACTCAGATACATTAGGCCTACTTCAGACTTCATTTCTGAAGTTCTATTCTCCTGAACTGAAACTCTGTCCCTCTGCCCCAGATAGGTCCCATCAGCCATTCACAGGGGCTCTGTATTGCTGATGAATAAAACCAGCCCTCTCTTTATCACACAGTGTTTCCTTCTAGCTACTGCCCCACTTCTCTGTTTCTCTGTACACTCAACATTTTCAGAAGTGTGCTTTACACCCACTATCTCCAGAGCTTCACCTCCCAGGTACGCGTCAACCCACTTGAATCTGGCTGTGATCTTTCCCCCATGGAAGTGCTAGTTTAAGGCAGCTGGTCGGCTCCAGGCAACCAAATCTATTGGCCACATCTTTGTCCTCGTTTTCCCAGAGCCCCAGGCAGCACAGGTGTCTCTGGACCCATCTGCTCAAGCACTTGCCTTTCTTGCCATATGCAACGTGGCATTCTCTTGATTCCACTGCCCCACAGACCTCTTTTTTCTGTCTCGTTCCTGAATTCTTGTTGCCTGTCTCCTCCTCTCCCCAATTTCTAATGCTGGCCTGCCCAGGGCTTATTCCGAACTCATTTTCCCTCTTCTTTGCTTTCTCTCCCTCTCTCACTCCTTTATCTCAGCTTCTTCAGCAGGTGACCTTATCTAATCTTGTGGCTTTCTCTATGTTAAATATTTTTACATTTATAACTATAGTAATATCTCACCCAGATGTTCATAATTGCCTTCTCAATTGTTTAGATATCAAATTTAAAATGTCCAGTTGAGATTTTGTAACACCTTATGCCCCCTCCTCCAAATAAAATCATTAGTGTCTTATTTCAGTAGGAGTAGCACCACGGTTCAGACTTTAAGTCTAGAGAAAGTATTTGTAGTTTTTCTTTTTCTCTCATTTCCATCATCCAATTATCATCATATCCTGTTGATTCTACCCCCAAAACACACTTCTCTCTTGACATCTCCATTTCATTAAGCCTAGCTTACTACAACAGCCTTCAAAATATTCTTCTATCTCTGCCTTTCAGTTCATTCTCCACACAAGATTCAGGGTCATCTTTTTAAAATGTGAAGTATAATGATGTTATTTCCCTGTGTAAAATCCTTCAATGGTTTTGCTTTGCATATGGAATAAATCTGACTCTTCGTCTGACCTGTAAGTCCCGCCTGGCCACCTCCTCTGACTGCCTGACTAAGCTTACTACATCACTTTCTCTGCTCAACACTCCTGGCCTTCTTTATTCTCCTTTGACATACCAAACTCCTTCTTGCCTCTGGATCCCTGAACAGGATCCCTGCATTCATATCCTGCAAGGTCCTTCTGCCTGGCATGTTTGGAACTCCTCCAGTTCTTCATGCAGTCTGTTTCCCCAGTCTTAGCACAAATGCGCTTCTGCACTGGAGGTTCTTTCTGTCTCCCCTGTCTATGTACGCCCTCGTTCCCCAGCATTCCTAGTTATTAATCCTGTCTCCACGCTTTACTGCCTTTACAGCACATATCACTGTGGTCTTCCTTGTTTCCTAGTTTATTTTCTTTCTGTCTCAAGGTATTGACTCCATGAGGGCAGGAAATACAAAACTCCTCCTCCTTAATATTGTCACAGGACCTAGAATGGTACTTAATAAATATTTAGGGAATGAATGGGTAGACATGGTGAGAAACTTTTTTTAGAAAAAATGTTTTAGTCAGAGGTGAATTTCAAATATTATGTTGCAAAACATATGTATATGTCAAGAATAAAATGTCATATGACTTTTAAAGATATATGACATCAGTTTTTTGAAGGCCACTTAGGGATGACTCCTAAGCGGGGAGTGGGTTCATCTTTTATTCCTGTAAAAATGTTGATTGAAAAGATGAAGGGAGGGGGGCTGGGGATTTATCTCAGCAGCATAAGTGCCTGCCTTGCAAGCAGTCAGTTGTGAGTTCGATCCCCGGTACCGAAAAAGACAGGAAAAAAAAAAAAAAAAAGAAAAGAAAAGATGAAGGGAAATACATCTGGGATATCTCTGTCAGTGTGATCAATACATGACATAGTTTAGGCTTATTTAGATAAAAAAGGAGTAGCCTGTATAGTATGGTTTATTGTGCATTATTAAGTGATATAAGACTCCTTCAAAAATTCCTTCCGAATTTGCTCTGGTTAAGTGTCTAAATCCTTTGAAACATATTCCTTTGCTTAACAAAGTTTCTTTAATCTTCTAAAATCTCCTATTAAAATGTAGATACCTTTAAAAGAAGTAATATCATGAACCACCCAGTTTTATCTGAATAGGGCTAGTATTATAAAATTCTTAAGCTAACAATGACATTAGTTATCAGGGTTTGCTTCAAAATGTATAGGTAACTGGGAGGCTTACAGGAATGGCACCCAGGCAAGAGCCATGGACAGATCTGGAGAGACCCATAGAGCCCTAAAGAGAAAAGCCTGCTCCATCTCTAAGTTTGTCCAAAAGCTACCTTCCTTTGACCCCAAGGCTCTGGCTGGGCCAGACCCTACAAAGGGATAGGACACTTCTGAGCTCATTCAAGTGTTACTAGCTGGAAGTAAGGTCACTACAGTCTCTGAGAATGGAAGGCAGTGAACAAGCTGGATTCTGAGGATTCAGCTCCACCCTAAAGAAGGGGGTGCACTGGGGACCTGTGGAGTCCTGACAGGCTCCTGGGGATCACTCAACAGTAGCAAGATTCCCACTTTAATTTCACATTTATAGGGTAGTTATTGAGTCTTGACTGCCGCCTTCTTCACATGAAACAACTGCTAGAAGAGGCATAACTAGTGACTAATAGGAAAATTTCATTATTAACATTCCAACCTCAACTGAACCACTCAGCACTGCATCTTTGGGGATATTTATCCCTGATTTTTCTTGTGACACATAATTATTTTTAACAGTTGACTTTTTCATATTGGGTGATTCTGTTTAATATTAATATCCTCTCATTTTCAGTGTTTCTTTTCCTTGGTCCAATTTCCACACCATTTTATGGCTTTGCATAAACTGTATTTATTACAACTGAGCAGATTTGCCATGGTTGAGAGATTGCCAGAGTTGTTATCCCACGCCAAATAAGGTCTTTATTGCATTTTAGAAGACACTGACTTTTTAAAAGGGAATTTCTCACTAAAATTGCATTGATGGCTTACTGCTGTGCTCCCAGCTCAACCAGCTCTGAGAAGGCATCACTGTGACTTTTTCTTTTGCCTCATACTAACATCAGCTAAGAATCATTTTTTATCCTATTCACTTCCTATAAATGAGATGATTTGGCTTTACCATGAGATGATTTTAAGAAACTTAATAGAAGCAAAATTGCTCTCTTATTGAAAGAGTTCCTCACATATCCAAATGCCAATTCTGACAGCTTCACAGTATCTCTTTGCTCTTAATAATGTAATTTTAGGAGAAAAAAATGGAGGATACATGGTGACACAAATTCTACCTGCTAGTGCTATTCCTAAACGGTATTTGATATTCTTTATCACTTGTGAAACCAATAAACAGGAGGGACATGAGATCTCCAGGTAAGAGGAGAGGATCTTCCCATTCATCTCTGCTTTGTTTTGCTTTAACATATTAATGGTTATAGTAAAGATCTGGAATTTTTAGTAATTATCTATACGATATTTTGGTAGCCAAATGAGTCCTTGATATATAATTAGTTTTGCTTATAAACTTATAGACAAATAGGTCAGATCTCTGATTATTTTAGTAGATAACAAATGAACGATTGAAGCTAGACGGAGAAAAGTGGTTTCTTGTATAAAATTACATGTTTCAAACAAACTGTTCTGGTGCCATGGAGACAGAGCTATAGAAAAATTCCTCGGGTTTGCTAAACAAAGGGACTTTGAGAATAATGAAAAAAATTCCTGAAAATGACCTGTGAAGTGCCCACTTACTTGATATTCTGTACCTTTCTGCTTATGCACTCAAGAACACAGCTGAATAAATCAGATGAATAAAAATGGACAGAGATCAGGTACACACTTATTTTTATCTAGGTTTTATACCTTGAACAGCAGCTCGATTCCATAAGAGTAGTGCCATTGGATACATCTTCTCTTTTTCTAGAATGTTAGCCTTTTCTAAAAAAAAAAAAATAAATAAACATGTATTAAGAAAATTTAAAATGTCTCTATAGTAAAGTAATATATGCATGTTTGGAGAATTTCAGAGAATTTTAACTTATCTTACTAGATTCCAAAATGAAGGCTGAATTGCTTTGAGCTACTTCATACCCCATTTCTGCAAGCAGTGCATACTGAACAAGAGACGAATCTATATCACCATCCTTATATGCAAAGTAAGCTGTCAGGAATCTCTCAGCCCAGTGGCCCAGCTCACAGACACCTTTATAGAGCTGCATATGGGAAGAGATCAAGTAGACTAGTTAATCAATATACTTCATTCCAGACAATTGATCGATAAATCAGTCTTCAGCGCCTGCTGGCTGGTCAGGCAAGAATTTGAGGTTTAACATGCATGGTTTTTGGTAATTATTTAGAGTGAAGAATTGATATATTTTATAGGCACAAAGATTACAAGTGTTTATTTTATTTTTATTTGTCTTGAGTTAAACTTCCTCAGGCTTATTTTAAATTTGTATCAAAAATTTTCTTGGCTTGGGGGCTATTTGGCAAGACAAGAATGTATCATCAATTTTGGGAGTTTCTTCCAAGGACCTTTCTGGACACTGCTGCTTTGTGTGGGCAAGGTACAAGGCCACAGCTGATGTGGAAAGGAGAGAATGAAGGAAAGCCAGTGCCTGCGGGTACAGGTGACACAACCGCAAGGAAGGAGTGCACATATCCGTGGGGACAAATGTCAACTTAGCTGAATAGCCCTTATGTAACCAAAAGAGGTTAGCCATACATAATTCATTAGGAAGTTGGCAAAGGAACAAATCTAAAAATAGATTATTAGCTGGCAGCTTTTGAAATGAATTTGAGGGACCAGATTGCAACATGGAGATATTTGTATTGGTATAGCAGACATATTTAATAAATCAATGAAGGGCATTAAAGTCCTAAAAGCATTCTCTTGAAAATACATTACTGGTTCAAGTTGAAAGAACTCACTTTCACAATTGACTTTTAAATCATCCAAAACCTATGGTCCCTGCTTTTTGGGTTATATTTTCTAGGCTAAATCCAGCCTTTCGTTTTCTGAGTAGTAATTCCCAGTCCCACTAGAAGTACCAAATTGCACTAGTGATCTGAAACACAGCTCCTTAACTGAATTCTAAGGCAATCTCTGAAAAACCAAATGCAAAGGAGGAGGGATCATTTCACTTTTGCCTTTCCCCAGTCTGAGTCACATCACTGTTTCTTCTCTCTGGCAAACATCAGTGTTTTAGTTGTCAATGAGAAGAAAACAGGTACAACCCGTAAACCCACATGCCCAACAATTTAAGGACAGTATCACCTCCTCTGTGTGTCAAATGAAAAGGAATTTAAAAACAGCTCAGTATTTACCTTCACAGCAGTTGTGCATGATCTTAACACCCCTGTTCCTGTTGCATACATCTCGGCCAGATAATAAATGGCAAGGGGCTGCCCACTCTGAGATGCCAAGTAAAAATATTTGAAGGCAATTTTATAATCCTTCCAAACTCCAGAGCCAGCTGAAAAATTAAGTTGCTTTAAGATACCACTCTTTTATTTATTTTTCATTATGCATTATAATCTGTCGGTATACATAATAGTCATAGTGATGCTTGTTAGCTTAAATAGGTAGAGAACACTTGACCAAAGGTCAAATTCCTTTAAATCTACTATTTAGGAGTGGGTGGGTAGAGAGTTTGATTATAAATAAGAATATGAAAATATAAGATCTTGGCCCATTTGGAAAACAAAGATCTATTTAGTCTCATTGGAGCATCTTAATATAGTGTAATGTGAACTAATGAAACAGAGACCAAGTGAAGAAGCTGCACCATGATCTTTTCATCATCCTTGTCATCCTTTCATGCCAGGACACCAGTATAGCTCTTACAGACATGGTAATAGAGCCTGGAGTAGTAATTCCCAGCTCCAGAAAGGTCTAATCCAACTCAGACTTAGAGAAAAGAGAGGCAACTGGGAGGGGGCAGAGAATCAGCAGATTTCCAGCAACAAGTAATTCTTGTCCTGGCAGTCACTCTATTTTTTGAGTTGAGTACATCTAGATATTTTACATGCAAACAGAAGGAGCTAACCCTAGAAGGTCTTTAAATTCCATTGTAGCTCTAACATTTCATGACCTTTATGGGCAGTGCCATGTAGCAATTAAAAACAAAAGCTCTGAAAGTAGATTTCTAAAATTTAATCCCACATCCACTACCCATGTGGTCTTTGATAAGATCTCTGAATTCACTATAGCTCAGTTTGCTCATCTGTAAACTGTGGGATACTCCCATACATGTTGAGTGGGTTAAATGAATTCAAACATACAAAATTTAATGTATCGTTGTTATTACTCATTCTAGAAGCTTGGAAAATCAGACAAATTTTAAGCTGAGGACTTGGAATGAACTAGGAACAAAGCCTCTATTTCACATAAAAAGGCAGGCCTCCTGCTGAGTTACCATGGAAGATGCCAGATGACCTCCTGGTCAGATTTGACCTCCTTGGTCATCACTGTCCTGGTTCCTCCATGACTTGAAGGGCTTGGTGGGGCTATGTGCAGATCTCCTGGTCCTTGTTCTCACCACCTCCTTTCTTGGTACCTCTAGGGTTTATAACAAACCTTTATGGCGTCTGAAAACCTTCTATCCAACCTCTCTGCCTCTTTTCCACGAGGCAATACTTTACCTCCTACGTGGGAGAAAACTTTCCTCACTTGCCTCTCCTTCCCTCCCCATATTTACGTCATGTCTGTGCCTTCCTCGTTTCAATCTTTAAGGATGAGAAATTCCACTTCTCTGTCAAGGTGAAAGAGGCCTCCACCAACCTGGATCCTAATACCATTGGTTTTTTCCTAGGATTTCATTTCTTCAATTATAATTATGTCTGAGCCTTTCATTGTCTAAAACCAAGGCACACTTCTTGCAAGATTTTTTTTTTTTTTTGGTACTAAGGATTGAAGTTAGGCCATTGCATTGAGCTTCATTCCCATGTCTTCTTGAGACAGAGTTTTTCTAAGTTGCCAAGTGTGGGTCTGAACGTGTGTCCTCCTGCCTTAACCTCTAGGGGGGCTGAGATTACAGCTCTCGTAGGGATATTTTCACTCTCTACTTCCTCACCTTCCATTCACACACTAACTCATTGTCACCTGACTTCCACCCCCACCAGTCCAGTAATATCAATCAACATTATCGGTATTGCCAAGTCTCTTTTTTTTCTAACTCATCCTCCTACTTCTTTTTCTTCAAATAAGACTTCTCTCTGTACCTCCCAGGGCTGCTATTCATTAATTTATTCTTTCTGGAAAGTTCTTCCCTTTAACTCCCTTTTATATCAGTTTTTCTCTGTTCCTCTGGCCATGCATTTGTGGTTCTTCTTGGTGCTGTTTCCCTCTCCCTATCCTTGCAGAATGGTACAGAAGGGCGCCAGAATTCTGACCATTGCCATTTCTTCTTTTCCTCACTCTTTTTTTTTTAATCTCAGCTACCTTTCACTCACACCTGTAGGGTGATATCTTCAAAATATTTCTCTCTAATTTTGACATTTCTTCAGAGTTGCATGCTTGTTTCTTTTTTTTTTTTTTTTTTTTTTTTTTTTTTTTTTTTTTTTGTCTTTTTCATTTTTATCGGTACCGGGGATTGAACTCGCGACTGCCTGCTTGCAAGGCAGGCGCTTATGCCGCTGAGCTAAATCCCCAGCCCCATGCTTGTTTCTAGATATATGTGCTGGCTATCACAAGAACCTCAAACTTAACAACATTGAAGATGAACTTCCCGAATCTATATTTCCTTGCCACCTCCCCAACCGATGTTCTTTCTTTTAGTCTTCCTTGAGTTTGATTGAACTGTTGCCTGAATATTATTTTTTAAACCATTCATGTTACCTTTAATTTTTGTTATAAGAGAGGCAGGTTTACTAAGATGCACATCATTCTAAATAAAGCAGACATAGCTGTAGTACCTACAGTAGTACATGAAGCCGAGCTGGAACTGTGCATTGGGCCATCCTTTCTCTGCAGCTTTCTGAAAGTACTTAAGTGCTTCAGCATAATTCTGGAAGATAATTACACTCTTATTCATAGCTATATGCATAACTGCATGGTAACAATTGCCTTTTATGTTTTTTTTTAGAGTACAATCAGTGCTTTATGTGAGTTAGGCTAATTAGAATAGTATCAGACATATAATGTTTTATTTTATTATGTAAGATACTACTAGGAAAGAATTATTTTTTTGTGAATTATATAGTTTTGTACATTGACAAGTTTTGTTAAATATCGAGAAAAGGTCATTTGAAAGACAGATAAAGCAGATAAATTTCTCTATCAAAATAATCTTCAAGAGACAGCTATTTCCAAGGCTATTTAGAATCTATGATTCTAAGATATTATTAGAGCTGCCATTCTTGTCACCAAGCTTGTTCTTTTATATCTCTGTGGCAAACAAAGGTTTTACTGAATTATTTTATTCTCTATTATCAGATATAATAGTTTGGCCAATCAGGTAATAGAGACTCATTCCTACAAATTAATGAACAATCATGAATTTTATCCTATAAATTGCCAGAAGCATGTTGAAAAGCTAATAAAATTATTTGACTTACCACTGGAACTCCTTTTCCGTAAAAATAAAGGAGACCAAGTCCATGAAGACCAATGGCATTGCCCTAGAAGAATTTTAAAATCCCAGTCAAGTCCCAGAGAATTCATGATAAGGAAAATTACTTCAAAAGCATTTACAATATTTGAAATGACCCTAATCAGGCAGGTTAATCAGGCAGTTGACAGATTATTTTGATCCTCTCTAGTTTATCATTCCACACTTATAGTCCCCTGTGACAAGAAAAGGGAAAGGGAAATGAAAGTCAAATCTTTGCTTGATTCTTTCAGTCCGCACTCATTTAGTGTTTGCTTTGTGTATGATTCCATAATAGGCCTCGAGCTGAAGTAAGAGAGGTGAATGGTGAATGAGCCAGCAAACAAGTGGGCTCTGAGCCACATTAAAGGGTGGTCAGATTTCTTCAAGCCATGTCAAATGTGCTAAATCTTAAAATGAAGTAGGGCACACAATCACTTGGTTGAGGCTAGGAAAGGAACAGAACTGTAAGGACATTAGACTAGCTGGGACAAATTGTTTTCCTTTTGTGAGAAAGTCCCTGGGAAACCAGAAGCTCATTGGAGTGGTCATCAACAGTTGAAAACCCAGAATACCTGTTCACTTTCATGTAACTCCAGAAGCCAGGCCAGTAATATAGGTCCAGAGATGGAGAAAGAGGTAGAGGCCAAGACAAACCAGAGTGCACCTATCCTGTCTAAACACAGCAGAGCTTCCAACTCCAGCCACTTGTTGCCATGTGAATGACAGTCCTATGTGGTCAGCTTTTGCCATTTTCCAAGAAAAGCAGAATGCACATTTTTTCCCCATGTGAAGTTTTACACTGTGGCATGAAACACCCAGTCGTCACACCAAAGAACCAAGAAAAGATCTGAATGTTCACATCTTGCTGTGAAGTTTTCTGAGCCAAATACAACATATGTTTAGGAAGCCCCCAGTGTGTAGCTTCCACTCTAAGGCTTAATGGTCTTCCTTAGGCTGATGGAAGTCTGAGAGCAGTACTTATTTGCCAAATATTTAAATGAGCTCAACTGTTGACTAGGAACTTGTCCTCCTTGAAATGAGGAAACTTGGGACCAGACAGTAGGAATAAAGTCAGAAAGCAGAAGGCTGTGGAATAGTGAATATGGCAAATTTAGAAGGAAGCCACTATGTTACCCAAAGCCGGTAGGGTGGCTTTGTGGGGAAAGAGGACATAAGACTGAGCTTTACTCTGGTGCTGAGTAGAGAGTTTCAACTGTGGGACTCTTGAAGATATAACAAATGTGTGGGAAAAGGATTGGGTCTGATGTGTTCAGAGCTGTGAGATAGAGAACCAGAGGAATATGATCTAAGATGGGCTCAATATTACACAAATATTTTGGTTTTACATACATTTTTTTTACATAGACTTTTTTTTTTACTTAAATGTTTGTAAGTAATAAGGGGTCTGGGGATATAACTCAGTAGCATAAGCACCTGCGTGGTGAGTCCAAGGTCCTAAGTTCAATTCCCGGTACCAAAAAAAAAAAAAGTTTGTAAGTAATAAGACAAAAGAGGTTATAAAATTGGTAATTTTGTATCCTGATACTGGAATAAATGTCACACAAAATTGAAAAGCAGGAGTCTATGTCTATGCCTGCCTCATGCCATTCAAAATAATTAAGTACAATTTTAGATTTCCTTTGTTAAAATAGTAAGCTCAGATTTAGAACACGTATAACCCAGATCAATGCTAGTTACTAAGGCCTGAGTATTTCTGACACCCAACTTCTGACATTCTTTTGGACTGACAAATCAACATTATTTGCCAGATTAGAAGAGATTTTCTTAGATACCTCTTTTTTTGGTCTGTTCTTCTTGGTTCTCCTACTCTATTGGAACTCCAAATAATTTTTTTGCTGAGCAATAGTTTTGCATCAATTACAGGGGGAGGCAGTATTAGCCTTCCCAGTAATTTATATCACAAGAGCAACTCTGAGGTTCCACTCGTTTATAAACAGGCTTCTAAATAGCATGTAGGCTTCTAAAAACTAAGAACAGATGAAAATATTCCTCAATTTGAAAACATTTTTACTACAAGTGTTGAACTCCAAAATTCTAAGAGAACAAAATGCTTCCCTATTCTTGGGGATAGAAAACATATCAAGGCCAGCTGCCAAAACCTAGTTGATGAGATGTTGGGATGAGAATGTTGTTTAGGCATTAAAAGGGTTCAGAGTAGTTTATTACATTTTATCTGATACCAGCCTCAAAGGAAAATATTTTAACACAGGGAAAAGATTTTAACAGGGTATATAAGGGGCCATGGCCAGCACTCCTCACATAACCAAATTCTCAAATGTTCAAGTCCCTTATATAATATTACATTGTATTTGTATGTCATCTACACATATTTTCCTGTATTATTTTATTTTTTTGTCTTTTTGAGACAGAGTTTCACTATGTGGTTCAGGTTGGCCTTGAGCTCACTTTGTAGCCCAGGCTGGTCTTGAACTTGCAACGATTCTCCTGCCTCAGCCTGCCAAGTGCTGGAATTACAGGTGTATGCCACAATGTTTGGGGCATTTCTTTATTCTTGAAACAATCTGTCAATATAAAGGCTGTATAAATAGTTGTTATATGCAATCATTTAGGAAATAAAGACAAGAAAAAGTCGGCAGGTGTTCAGTACAGATGTACTGTTTTATTAAACTTTTTGATTCATAGTTGGTTGAACCCATGGAGGTAGAGCCTTGGGTATGGAGGGCTGACTCTTACACCATTTCTGTACTCACTCATAGTTTCAACCCTTTCTGCCTTGCATCTGTTTTGATGCTCAGTCCACCTTAAATCCAGGCAACATCATAGCCAAATCTTATATTCTCACTTGATAGATGGAGAAAATGAGGCACAGAAAGGCTAAGTATCCATGTCAGGTAGGCAGGTGATTGTAGAGCTGGCATTTAATCCCGGGATTCTGTCCCCAGGACCTTGTTTTTAATCCCCTTGCCTTGGCCAACTGCCTTACCTCCTGCCTGGGCCAAGTGGAACTCAGATATGACTGGAGAAAACCAGACATTTCTTTGTGGTCTTTGTCCTGAGCTGATTGCCATTAGTTTTCCATTCTTCTCTTTTGTTTCCTGTTCCTAAGCTATATGGCTTCCACCACTGCACAGGAGAGAGGCAAACTGAGTTGCTGCCTGGCCTCCTGCTGGCTCTGCTAGGGCAACACACATCACTGCCCTTCTTTCTTTATCAGGAACACGTGATCACATCTCCCTCCCTTTTAACTCTGTGGTTTATTGTCAAAGATCCTGTATTTCTCTATGACATAGAAATCCTTCTAGGTCCATTATTTAGGCTTGGGACTTTGAATCTGCATGTAAAAGCCAATTATTTTTATGTGTTCATAGTAGTGGGTTGAGGTCATACCTTATTGGCTGCCATGGAAAAGTATTTGAAGGCAGTAGCGTTATTTTGTGGTGCAGCAGCATTCCCCTCCAAGTACATCTAGAAAAAATGATGAAAGGGGAGTGTGAAAAACAGAAAAATCTGGGGCAGATGGAAGTATTCTAAAGCTAAATAGAACCATTGTAGATGCACACCACTGTAGATGTAATAAACAATAAATGCCAAAAGTATACATTTAAAAATAGTAAATTTTAAGTTATTTGACTTTTATCTCAAAAAACCAAAAACAGCTAACGATGAAATATACGTATATTCTGAACTGACTTGCAGATGGACAAAGAAGTGGACCATATTTGGGTTTTCTCCTGTTTCTTGAATCTAAATTACTATTTGTGGCACTTCCAGAAGCAAGGCACTAAACGTCATGGTTGCTGGAATGCACTGGCTCCAGGGAGTCATGGACCTCAGCAGGAAGTGGGCAGGCAGTGGTCTTTACAGGAGAAAGAGCATCCTTCGCTGGAGGAATCTTCTACAAGGCTGCTCAGCAGTCACAGGGGACTTCCTATCAAAAGTGGTGTAAGGGTGGACCTTGGTCAACCTTAGAGCTGGTTCTCATTCCTGGGTACAGGAAAGAGGCACCTGACTGGCCTGGGGACTGTACCAGTTGTCAGTGCACCTGGCTCTCCTGTTAGCTGTGGAGACTGTGGGGGAGCTCGGGGCTCGTCGACACACACCAGAGGAGCCTGTGCAGTGCTTTTTTAAGGCTGTTTTTGATGCCTCACAGTAATGCATGTTGTGTGGTGTTCCTTCCTGACCTGTTAAATCAAGAATACTACCCTCAGTGGCAGACAAATGCCTCTCCGGTTGCTTCCATGAAAGAGATCTCCAGTCTTGTCACCCTGAATTCAGTTAACTGGTGCTGTTCATTTCCTTTCCTTCCTCCTTCTTCCCTTCCTTTTTTCCTTCCCTCTTCCTTTTGTTCCTTTTTCCCTTTGTTTCTTCCTTTCTCCCTCCCTTCTCCTTCCTTCTCTGCTTCTCTCCTCTCTCTCCCCCCACTTCTTCTTTCTTTTTTCCTATCCTGAGGATTAAACTTATGCCCTTGTGCACACCAGGCTAGCGCTGTAACATTGATCTACATCCCACCTCATTTCTTAGATTTTTAAGAAATAAAAAATATAAATCAATTTGAAGCATGTACCTTTCCTATAAATGCCATGGCATTTGCACTCCCAGCCTTTGCTGCCTTTAAAAAGTAGTGTAATGCTTTCTGGAGAGAAAAGGAACAGTGTTATTGCCAGTCAAAAATAAATCCCACAAAATGGCTTTTTGAATCAAACTTCTTTGTTCATTAAATATGCATTTGAAAATATCTATGAAATGCCCACTTTGTTCAAGGCACTATTCCAAGTGCTATTTCAATCATAAATCTAAAGACTGGTAGACTATATATATCTGTATCTATATCTATAGGTCTATATATATCTTAAAAGTGTAAGATATAGTTATATATTTGTATCTCTCAATATATCACATATATAATTTTAGAATGTGAAGACTTGTTTCTCATATTTGGAAAGGCATGATAGGCATTTGGCTTTGTAGGGAGAGATAAATCTCTGCTATATAGCTAAATAGTCCATTATTTTGAAAAGGTTGGTTTCTCTGTTAACATTTTGTACTTATTTCTGAAGAGTTTGTACTTCACTTGGCAGAATCTTGATGTTTGGAAGAGAGAGTAAGACCAGACACACCTGGAAGCCTGCTGAGACTCCAGAACAATTTCTTCTAAATAAAATTGAAGGAGGCAGTAAAGCCTCTGATTTCCTCTCGGTCATAAAGTTGAATAAAATGTTGAGTCTCGAATGCAAAAAAAGCTGACTTGTGCCTTGCTGCCATATTCTATAGGTTTTATCCCAAACTTCTAGAAAATCTCTCAGAAATCACATGGAGTAATAAGAGATGAACTATGAAGATTCTCTCCAAATTGTTTTATTAGGATACAAATCTTGTAATCTTTAAAAAGTGCTAACTAGGTTGATGTGCATGGGTCTGTTCCTACCCAGAAAGAAGAGAATGTTTAAGGCATTTCTTTTATATGGAAATTTGCTCAAGAAATGTTGCCAACTTAAGTGAGGGTCACATGCTTCTTGCTAAAATCAGCCTGCCTATGGACATAAGTGCAAATACCACCTTTGCTGAACTGCATCCACTGTGTAAATATTGATTTATTTTTTTCCTATCTTTATATATCCTTTCAAAAACTTAACTGAACTATGATGTATGTATGATGATATATTAAGTATTTGTGACAGTTAAGCTTAATTGTCAACTCAATTGGCTTAGATTTGCCTAGGAGATGAGAAAAGCACATTTATGGATGTGTGTGTATGAATTTTGAAGGAATGGCCTTGGAGCCTACATCTGGTCCTTTGCCCCTTTCTTTCTGGTACTGTTTCCTTCTGTGCTTGGCTACCATGAAGTGGGCAATATTCCTGCACCAAGTCCTCCATCGTGACATTCTTGTCTTTGACCTAGCTGACTGGGGACCGAATCCCCTGAAATAATGAGCTAAATAAACCATTTCCTCTTTTAAGTTGTGAGTTGGTATTTGTTCCTAGAAACAGGAAACCTCACAATTACAGAAAATTGGTACCAGGGAAGTGGGGTTGTTGCTGTAACTTCACCTGACCATGTGATTCAGTGGCCTTTGAACTGATTTTGGGAGGAGTTCAGAAATTTTGTAGTTATGGGTTTAGAAAAGCCCTAAAATGTTGAAATAGACAGATGTGTGATGCTAGTCAGAGGTCAGAAGACCAAAATGCCAATAGAAATGTATGCAATAAAGGCCCATGAGATTTCAGATGGGAACTATATTGGAAAATGAACAAGAGGTTATACATGTTACATTCTGGCAAAGAATTTGTCAACATTGAGTCCATGTCCTGGGACTTGCAGAATCTTGAATTTAAAAGCTATGAACAAATTGATCTAGTGAAGAAAGTTTCGACTTTCAGGCTTTGGTATAGGTACTGAGAGCTGCTTTTAGCTAGATTTATAGTGGAAAAAGAGCAAAAAGCAGAACAAAAATATCTGAAAAACAGAAGATTTTGGTTTAAAGCTGTGGTTGCTGTCTTGGTTACTTTTTTCTTGTTGCTGGGACAAAATACTTGACAACTAGAATTAAAAGAAGAAAGGTTTATTTTGCTCACAGTTTGTGGAGGCTCCAGATCTCAAACAGCCGGCTCCAAGGCAGGGTGGAATGGCACAAGGGCAACAGTTCAAGGCAGCAGAAGACAGCAAAAGCAACAAGAGCAAAAGGGGTAGAGCAAGCCTCTTTTCCTCCCTTATACTGTACACAGGCTGCCCACCCTCAGGTGGATGTAGTACTCACACCATCTCCATGCCTTACTCTTGCACAGGCTAAGGATGTTTACAAAGTAAGGACTCTGGCCCCTTGCTGATTCACTTAAACTTCTAAACTTCTCAAGTTGACACAATGAACAGCTTCCTACAGCAGTTAGGGCATGTCCTCCATGTCCTAGGATGTGGAACTTCAGAGTTAGTTAAGTTTCTAGACCTCTCAAGTAGACACAATGTATCAACTATTACAGTTGAAGAGATTAGTGCTATTAAAAAATTACCAGGAATTTTGAAACAAGACAAGAAGAAAGATGCCTTGAGGTTATCTCAGGAGTCAGTAAAACCCCTGTGCCACTATTATCACCACCACAGACTCAAGGGTATAAAAGTGTAAGCCTTTGAGAAGAGTCTCTTTGGACCTCCAGCTTGAAAAGGGCCACCTAGGGATTTGGTTGCCCTGCATTCATTTCATCATATTCCACCATCAAGGCATTCCAAGACCACTAGAGTCATGGTTCAAATGAGCCTGGCTGCTGTGTGAGTGGGCAGTGGACAATAGTTTCATTCACATAATGCAAGTTACTCAGATATGAATGAACTTTGGAATGCAGGAGTTTTGGGGTCATGGAGGATTCTATCCAGATTTCAGATAAAAGTCCTGATGGGCCAGGCAATGTGCCCCTAAGAAGATGATAGATAAATCTGTGGGACAGAACTGAATGTGTAGTGGAGAGTGGAGGAAATTGGAAATGCCAGAAATGTGCATCTGCTGAGGAATGCTTCAGGCTGAAAGTGGAATCAGCCAAAGACAGAAGATATGTAGGCTGCAACCAGTGATGTCATAAAGCTGGGATCCCCCAAGTTCTTTGGAACTCAACTCTCACCACCATCTGTACCAATGCTACATGTGGAGATACAGAGCCTAAATGTTTGCCCTGTTGAGTTTCAATCTTATTTTGTCCAATTGTTTTCCATTCCAATTTTTCCCTTTTGGAATGGGAATGTTTTACCTTGTGCTGTTGTATCTTATGATTAAGTAATTTGTTTTTGGAGTTTTACAGAAATTTACAGCTAAGGGCTTGCCTTGAGTCTTAGAGGAGATGATAACTTACACATTAGAGAAATGCTGGAATCTTTGAGACACTTGGAAAGGATGAGTGCATTTTTCATTGATAGTTGTGTCATGATGAGTGGAATTTTAAACTTATTTATTTGGATGTTAAGTATGGTTTAAGGAGATTTATATGACTCTCAAGTTGACAAGAGGTGAACCGTAGTTAAGTTTGTCAATTTGATTGGTTTAGGAATCATGCAGTCGATTAATAAAACACACTTCTGAACCTGTCTGGGTAGGTCAAGGCATAACGTTGGAACCTACATCTAGCCTCTGGCCCCTTCTTCTTTAGCATTATTTCTCTGCTCTGCTTCCTGACCACTAAGAGATGAATAGCATTTCTATGCTAGGCCTCTCTGCCATCATGTTCCTGCCTTGGATCTAGCTTACCATGGATGGGAATTCCCTGAAACCATGAGCTAAAGCAACCATTTCCTCCTTCAAGTCATGGGTACAAGGTATACAATCCCAGCAACAAGAAAATTAACCAGTGCAGTATTATAGGTGACTCACAGATGCATAGTCCCTACATTTTCTGCCTAGAAGTGATATTGAAGGAAGTATGTTAATAGTAATAATGTTATAAAAGAAGTAGGTGATAAATGGGATGAAAGGATTGCCAAAAAGAGAAGAGTATAACATAACTCAATAATAGAAATTGTACTCGGTTTTCTAATAAGTGCTTACAAGTCTTTGCTTTCCTAATCTTCACAATGTCACTATAAAAATGTCTTGTTAATATCTGATCTCATTTAATGATACTCAGAGTCATGCACTAGTACTTAAGTCCCATAAACTGCCTGAATGTAATTCCCATGTACTTGGCATTCAGCCTCCACATTATGAAGAGGAAGATTAAAATGATAGAGGCCTCACAAAAGATGGACATGGTCAATGGACAGGTCACTGCAGGCTAAGGGAGTACAACAAGCCAGGAAACAGCAATGGGAACGTCTAAAGTATGTGTGGCAAACAGTAATCACTTCAGTATGGCTGACTTAGAACACTCAAAAGTTAAGATTTACCAAAGTAAGGGGACTTTATCCTTGAATACCAGGCTAAGGACTTTTATGTTATCTGGCAGAAAATAGATGCTACTAGATATTTATAACCATTAGGGAATTTTGACAAAGAAATATCTCGAAAAATCTGAGTGTATGATTTGCCAAATTAGAGGATATTACTATCAAAACTACTTACTATGAATATCCATGAATCAGACCTAAATATGTCCCCAAGTAAGTGTGTAATGTATGCAAACCACATTATCCCCAGAATCATTTAGATTCTCCTCTGTGATCTCAGGGAACCCAATCTGTCCCTGTGCACTAACTCATCTGCTAATTTAATTGTCTGCTCCAATGTTGTATATTTTGTACTTAGCATGGTGTCTACCAGGTTAAGCACTCAGAAAATATTTCAAGAATGAGTTAATGGATAAATATTTATGCATCTCTAAAACAAGAGAGCTGGACCTTAATCTTCATGGAATCTTGTAGCTCCATTGTCATGCTTCTACGACATCATTTTTAAAGTGTAGTTTGATAATTTGACACTTGATTACCTTGCAACACATAGTTCTGAAAAAGTTCACTCTGGAGAGAAAGATTTGAACTATTAAAAGAAAGGAGTCTATTCTCCAGAAAGAAATAAAACTCCTGGAATTTCCTCTGCCCTTGACTGTCATAATCATATAAAGATAAAAAAAATTATACCTCTCTCTCACTTTGTTCTATTGTCCCAGTTTACTTGGCATTCCAATTCTCTATTCTTTTTTTTAAAAAGTTACCTGCCCTTAATGTTGTTACTTCAATTGAATAAATGCATATTAAACATCACTGAAAGTACCATGCAAGCTACTTTGATAGATAGATAGATGTGTCAGTCTAAGTTTTTGCTGATTCTAAATCAGACTCCCTTTCTTTGCTCCCTCTTTCTTTTCTCCTTTCCTGTATTTACTGAGACTGTTATCATACATTTCATTAATGCTAAGATATACACCTCTAGCAACTGCATTGTAATCAGCACATTTCTTACTATCAATGACATAGTATAATTTATATTGGCAGGTTTTCTTCTTTCTCGGCAGAATATAAAATAATGTCTTAAATTAATGTCTTAGGATGAAAGATAGTATGTCCTAGCAATTATGTTCAGTGAAATTTTATTGTTTGAACTCATCTCTCTCTCTCTGTTTTAAAGATGAATATGACTCTTATTTTCTTTAAGAAAATTTGTTTTAATAAATTTGTACTATTTTCCCTAAAATGAAATACCAAGAATATGTATTATTTTAAAAACATTTATGAACAATGCTCTTATCCTGGGTTCTATAAATCAGTGTGAAAAAGGGTTATATTAGCTCCTTTTTAAAAAAAATAGGTGACAAGGTAGATAAAACAGTTATTTATCTTTGATATTATTTTATATTTGATATAGTCCTCTGCCAAGTTTAATTATACTTTATACACTTCAATAATATGCACCAAACCCCTTGCTTTCATAATGCAATTCATTGTGAGTGTGCATATATTTAGGTATGCAAATGATATTAAAATTTATATGTAGAAAATTAAAGATAATGTCATCAAGACTTGCATATACAATACTTTTCAATTATAAGAATTTGATCAGGGGAAGGATGAAAATGCTGCGTGTGATGACAACTCATGAGAGACATTAATTTAAAGGTAAAGTTCTTATTTCTGGGTATTGTGATATTATATTGCTTGGTAATAAATCGAGGCATCACATTTTGAAAGAGCCTTCTACTAATAATTTCTTTGGTGGACTAAAATGGTATACTGGTGGACTAAAACCAAGTGGTGGTTTTCAGGCTGAAAAACAGCCTACAATATCTAGGATGCTAGCATTCATTCATTCAGTAAATATTTACTGGGTACCTCATGTGTACCATTATGAATACAAGATACACAGTGGTAAGCACGACAGAAAAGAAGATATACTCCATTGTGGGGACACAGACAATAATAAAGATCAGTATAATTTATGTTCCATGAGGAAAATAAACACAATATAATAAATAAATAATGAAAGAATACAGTTGGTCAAAAAAATCACCTCTGAAAAAGGTGCAACTTGAAGGATGAAGTTAGGCATGTGAAGAGATGTAGTAACAGCCTTTTGAAAATCAGGTTTAGCCTCTTATCTTGCCTTTTACTTGTGGGTTGCCCCTGCCATTCCAAGTTGATCTTGGTGCAACTTTAAGTTATGCGAAGTCACAAAAATGACCACAGTGTTCTCCAACTGTGAGAGGCAGAAACTTTGACAGGAAATATTCTGTCCATGGAATTTCCCTAACAATTCTATTTTGCTTGGCTTGTCACTTTCTTTGGTCAAAATATTGAGGCAGAAGTGACTTATGAATTCTCAGGTGAGGCCTTGAAGAGACTTCTGCTCTTGTGTTTTTAGAACCTTTCAGTGTTTTGTGAAATTCTACGGCCATTTGGCCGGAAGATAAACCACAAGAAGAGTGGCCCCATCATCCTAGCTGCAAAAGCCATCATGAACCAGCTAGCTCTGGATAGTACTCCCTAATTACAGATACATGAGTAAACCTGGTTTAAATTAGCTTAGACTGGCTCAGACCAGAATTACTCAGTTGAGCCTAGTCAAAATTGCTGGCATGCTAAATCAAGAATTAAATAAATTGTTTAAATCCATTTAAGCTTGGAAGTGGTTTGCTACATAGACTAAGTGAAATCAGTCTTAGGGTTTGAGATTTTGACGGAGGCTTTTCATCAAGTTCAGGTTCATTAGGTTGAGGGTGACACTTGCCCCAGAGTCAGTCCTCAGCTGCTGAAATTGTTAAACTTGCCCTCTTGGGATGTCTAGATGGAAAGCTGGAGGCCAAACCAGCTGTCAGAAAGGTGGATATGAAGAACCTAGTGATCATGTCCTTCCCTCTTTTTCCTTAACGAATGGTTAAAATGATCTTTAAAGCTGTAGTTTTGGGGAGGATAAGGGTCAAAATGAAATAAAAGTTAATAGAGTGCAAGTTTTGAGTGCTGAAGGCCTGAGCTCAAATTCTACTTAGCCTTACTTCCAAGCTGTGAACCTTGTAGCAATTTATTTCTGCAGCCTCAGATACTTTATAAAATCCATATAATAAAATGTTCTATGAGTGAGCCTGCTGGAGAACCTGACTGAGCCGCTGCCACTATGGTCTTGAATTCCTTCAGGGCTGGCCCTGGACTTGTACTTGATCTTCACCTTCCCCGGCTAACACCTGGTGTTCATGGTGACTGAGCCTCACTGGAAGTACATAATTTTGTGGAGCATTATTATACTTTGCAAAGATTGGTGTGTCATTCTTACAGCTAAGGTTTGAGTGCCTTGACACCTAGTCAAAGTTCATGTTTATAGAAAATGAGAAATTCTTCCCAGTTATGCATCCTATGATTAACATGAGAAATTCACTGCGGGCTGAAATCTGACATTGGAGTGATATTATGAATTCAGAATTTTCCAGCAAAGCAGCTAAAACTTGCTTATTATTAGGTTAAAAAAATCTGAAAACCTTCAGTTGAGCTGTCTTGGGATTTGTATGCTTATTTAAATTGCTACCTTTTTATCACATCTCATGAAATTAACTTTGACATTTACCTGATGTTTACTGTACCTCATATAAATACAAAATATGGTACAAAAAGCATATTCATGGAATAAGAATACAAGAAAGTGGAAAGTAATGGCATCGTTCTTTTATGTAACATCCTTATAAAAGAGTAATTTCCATCACTTAGCTATTGTGATTATGTCGAAATAGAGTTTGAGACAATAAGTGCATGGCTACTACAAAATGACAAGAGCTAGAAAATTATCTTTTAAAAAGAATCCCAGTTCGTTCTCCAGGTCTGTGCTGATTAGAGCCTGGAAACAACAATCAGAGTATAGACAAAAACTCATGGGGCTGGCATCTTACAGAGGAAGATCCTTCCTAGGGAGTTTTATTGGCTCTTTTCTTTTCTTCTGCTATATAGTTTAGTGGTTAATTAATACCCTAAGCACACTGTGATATGGAAAGGTTAAGCAAAATCACTAAAAGGAGTTTTGCAAATGTATAGATGAGTTTAATGTCTTTTTAGTTTTATTAAAAATCAGTCTGCCCTCTGATCTAACTAAATGGAGATGAACTTGGTCCACAGGCTCTTTAGAAGGAACTTCCCAGGTGGACTTTTGACAGCTGATCTTAGAGGAAGGGAGCTGCTCAAGGCCTGCGTGTGGGGATATTCTCCTGGCCTAACCCAGCCCCACAGTGTATGAGGGCGGGAAGGTGCTGGGTTCTGTTGGGTATGTAGGCACTGCCTTTCCCAGCTATTCCTCAGATGTTCCTACCTCTTTATACACAAAGGCAGGCAGGAAAATGCTTCCTCTGGTGAGCTTTGTTTTTTCTCAGAAGCTAGGAAGCAGATCTGAGCAAGGAAGGAACCGTGGGCTTTTCCTAGAAACTCCTCAGCTCTCCAGCCTTCCTCACCAAGACCCTTCCCCCCCATATGACTGAGGTGTAAGAGTGACTTACATAGTAATCCCGATCTAGACCTTTCCTCCCAATTAGATGTAACTGTCCAAGAGATACCTAGGAATGATAATTTTTAAAAATGATTTTAGCAGTAATATTGACATAAAGAGAAGAAAGCATTTACTTGATGATTTTATTATAGCATGTTGATTTAGTATGATGCAGTTGGCATGCTTTGAAAGAAGCAGGGAAACATTTAAGACTATATATTTTATTGGGTAATTAGTTGCTATTGGGCATCTGGCTTCCTCAATGACAGGAAGTCTGCCAGATGATACACAGCAACACCCTGGCAGAGGAAAATAGGGGCTTTAACTCTTAGCTCACAAAGATCACACAAATGCTGTCTCCTCTTAGGATCCTTGTAGGAGTTCATCTGTATTAAAACCAGCAGTAGATATTGCATTTTTTCTGTAATTAAAGTCTAAGGTTTTAAAAAATTAATGTCTCAGAAAGAAATTCAAAAATAAACCTTGCCATTACTATGGTAACTAGCTCTTCAATAAGCTGGAGGAGCTGTAGGTGATGGGACAAAACAGGAGGAGGGCAAAAAGGAAAGAATGTTTCTTCCTTTTCCCATTCAAGGTGGGGGGCATTGTTAATCTCTCTTGCACTCAGAAAGAACCAATTCCCTTGTAACTTGCATGCTTTAATAATTCAGTCCCATCTGTATACATTACTTGTATCTGAACATCTCCTCTTTCTGCCAAAAATTTATAGTATTGGTATAAGTCCCAATCCAAAATCTCACTGTTAGAACTCAAATTTTCAGGTCTCTCGGTTAGTCTCACTTTTTCCACTGGAATGCCTTCATTTTTTTCCAGTTTGTCAGCAACTGTGAACAGAAACAAACCAGAAAACTAGAAAGCACAGGCTGCAAGAGGTAGCAGTTAACTTAGAAGAAACATTATTATCAGCTTAAATCTGCAGAAATCTAGTAACAGAGAGGGAAGACCCATGGGGAATAGAAATTTGTGATTTTTGTTTATTTGGTTCTGAGAAAAGTGCAAGGAACCCAGTTATTCTTTGCAACTCATATACATATTATTCATATCTAGCAGACTTCTCAATATCTTGGCCAAGGAGATTAATGAAAAGAGACTGTAGAAGCTGACAACTGACCTCCTTATCACTGACTTTTTCTAGGACTGAAACTACAACATAAGAATAAGTACTCCTTGGTTATTCTTATAACCTAAAAATAAATATGCTTGAATTTTCCTTAAAAAATAGACTTAATAATTCCAGATGCTTTAAGGACATGAAATGATCTTGTGAGACATTTTAAATTCAAAAGTAGTTTTTTCTTCCTCCTTTTCTCAAATTCCCATAGCTCCCCAGGTGCTGATGTTATTCTGATTACAGAAATTAAACAAGTTGACTTTATTCACTGGTTGGAAGATCTTTTGAAAAGCTCTATTACATAATCTTCAATGATGTTGTAGTATGAGATGTTACGTATGACTTTTAGAATGATCTTAGGAATAGTTTTTAGCCTTCTGCTCTACTTTTTGTAGGTAAATGATACGGTAATAGAATAATGATTGCCTGGATTGTTCTCAAGTGCATTAATAGATCTTTGCAGTATAAATACCCTGTATTCATTTCACTAGAAAATGTAATGAACCATCTTATATTTTAAATGTTAAATTTATGGAAACTAATATTTATTTATTTATTTATTCAGAAATGAACATTGCAAGAACAAGTAAAACAGAAATATTTGGAATATATAGCAAGAAAAAAGATGAACATAAGATTTAAAATTTTTCAAAAAATAACTTAAATAGGGGCAGGGGATTTAGCTCAGTGGCTTAAGTGCCTGCCTGGCAAGTGCGAAGTTATGAGTTCAATCCCTGGCACACACACCAAAAAAAAAACTTAAATAGAAGCTCTACATTGTATTATAATAAATATTAAAAGTGGAGACTTACTATTCTCATAAGTTTATTTAAAATCTAGTATTGATTTTTTAAAAGTGCAATCAAGGCTTTTTTTTTTTGGCCATTTGTATTTTTGGCTATACTGAAGATTGAACCCAGAGTTCTGCACATGCTAGACAAATACTCTATCACTGGACTATTCACTCCCATACCAATGTCTGTTTATCTTAAAATAAATTATGAAGATGACTCACTATAATCTGCCACTTTCTTGTAGTGATTTAGAGCAATTTCACAATCCTGTAGCACGTTGATTCCTGACAAATATCTGTACCCCTAAAACACAAGTATATATATATATTCTTAATATTCAAATAATGCTTTTGTATAATATACTTGTTATGGTGGAAGAATATTTAATTTACAAACCAAAATCATCTGAGACATCATACTTCCTCCAGCACTTCCAAAGCTATAATATATCAGTGCCTAAAATTTAAAAAAATTATTTTGGTTATCCAGATTGGAAAGATTAGCCAACTATTGCTTTTTTTGCCTCTACCCCATCAATGAAGCTTACTTTATTTTGTTAGTACACAGAATTGCAGTATGTAATGATTATTTTCATCCATGGTGATTGGTATATGTCCATAACACATCTTAATCCTTTCCTTTTCATCTCTTTTCTTCTCTCTTCCCCTCCCTCCCTCCATCTCTTGATCCCATTCTCTTTTGCAAAAAGATCTATCTCTTGTTTTATCTTTTGTTTTGCTCTATATTTATATCTTTGGTTTCTCACATATGAAAAATCATGTATTTTGTTTGGTTTTGTTTTTGAGACAGGTTCTCACTGTAGTTCAGGCTGGCCTTGAACTCACTACATAGCCCAGGTTGGCCTTGAACTCAAGATATCTTCCTGTGTCCACCTCCAGAGGGCTTGAATTCCATGTGTACACCACTGTACGTGGCTATCATGTCATATTTAAGCTTGTGTGTCTAATTCATTTCACTTAACATTATGATGTCAAGATGTATATATTTTGCTACAGGTGACTCAGGTGTATCCTCCTTTATGGCAGAGCAGTACTCCATTGAGTACAAATAACACATATTCTTTATCCCTTCATCAGTTTATGAACATACAGTTCACTTCTAAGATTTAGCTATTATGAGTTGCAGTAAACACAGACATGCGTGGATCAATGTACTATGATGTCTTTAACTCTTTTGGGAAGAGACCTAGAAGTGTAATAACCCAGCAGTGAATATTAAAACACTCCAAAATAAACTCCAAATTTTACTATGTTCTTTTAAGAAAGCTGCCTCCTAAAGTTATCAGACTGTGAAAAGTTAATTGCATATAATATTTTATCACCATAAAATCTCTGTAAGATAGGTATTACCTACTTTCAATTAAGAATCTGAAATATGACACTTTAAGAAACCAAAGGTAGAAGAATGCTAAATTTGTGTTGAATTGGTACTTTTAATCACCATGGTAGAGTAAGTCCTTAACTTAAAGAATAGGTTTTACTCAATGTCATTTTAAAAGAAACTACAGAAAATAGAATTGACCTTACCTTGGCTTGATTATAATCCATTCCTATTCCATAAGAAGACAAAAATCCTAATGCCTAAAGAGTGAAAGAAAAAAGTGAAGCTAAAATCAATTTATTTCTCAATTTTTCTTATCTGTAGTGATAAGTGACATTTTAAATGTCTGTTCTATGATAATTTGCAATGCTAATTTATTTATTATACCATAACAAAGTGCTTTTGTTAAGAGTTTAGGAGAGGTCACAGTAGTGAGAGAATTATATATGTGAATATATATATATATATATATAGGTTGATTTTTATTCTAGAAAAAATTTAAAATATAGTATCATAAATCAGTGATTATCATGTGTTTTTCTCTCTTGGAAATAAAAGATTTTTCCTCATTATTTCATGATTTTTTTTCTTTCTTTCTTTTTTTTTTGAGACAGGGTCTTGCTATGCAGTTTAGGCTGGCCTTGAGCTCACTTTGTAGCCCAGGCTGGTCCTGGACTTGCAATGATCCTCTTGCTTCAACCTCCCAAGTACTAGGATAACATGCACACACCACCTTGCCCAGTTGAATTTGCATTTTTTAAATTCACACTTTCAGAAATAAAACAAAATTGATACAAAAAATTCAAGGTAAGAAATCTATTGAATAAAAAGTGGAAGCTGGGGTCACAAGAGTGAGATGGCAGAACAGGAAGCCCCAGACTCATGTGCCCAGAGACATGATATGGATCCAAAAGATCTTTTAGAGAATTGCAAAAACAAGGCAAGAAATCAGCACATCCAGGTGAAGCCACAGAGAACAGAAATATTAAAGTCTAAATAGAGGTTCTAAACATATAATGATTCAATCTATGAATTTCCAGTTTTCTGGTGGTGTGAAAGCAATATGCATTTGGTAGAAAGTGCATTTTGAATTTTGATCTTTTCCTTGGCCAGCAATATGTGCTACAAAATTTTCTTGGGAAGCTGAGCAGTGGCAGGCAGCCATGGCTCCCAGCCAGCCATGTGAGCACAAGAGTAAATAATTACCATGCTTGGGCTGTGTTGAGAAGCTATGATTTCAGTAAATGATGTACATTAAATCCACTTTTCAGTTTTTAATATTTTCCACTTTTCATGAGTTTATTGGGATGTACTGCCTTTCAAAGTTATTTCTTTCAGCACCTTTCTGCTGTGAGTTGCTCTCAATTCTTATCTGAACTCTTACAATACTCTCCAGGCTCGTTTCCCTTCTGTCCAGTTTTCATCCTCCCATTACCTTTACTCCTTCCGTCTACCATTATCAAGCCATTACATTTTTCATCTAGTTCCTGTGAAGATGTGAGACTTTGTCAAATGTTTAAAATCAAATCAAAGTATATCAAGCACTGACAATTCAATCAACTCAGCAAATGAGTAATTTCTGAAACTTTTATTTATAATTATAAAGCCAAAGAACTGTGTCTCATTGCAAGTCCACTTTTTAAATTAGGAAATTAACTGCAGAATTTTCCCATCCCAAAATCATAATAGTTATAACTTTGGATTTAAGTATAATTTGTATCATTTGCATCTTATCTAAACTAATCCACCTACTGAGAAGACACTTTTTTGATCCTGCAAATTTTTCTTTTGTTTGAAAGGTTGCCTTTTTAGAAGAGTTAACCATAAAGACTGTTATTAGAAATGGAAGGTGCCTGCAGTCCTGGTACTCCTCTAATTTGTGTAATGTACTGTATATTTAAAATGGCTAAATTGGCTCTTTTTAAGGACATCGCTAGCCAAGATTAATTATTTTTTTTTTCTTGCAAATCTTGGCAATTTTTCATCCTGCTGAATTTCTGGTTCAGTTATGCAGAAACTCTGACAGTAAATAAATACACTGACCTTTATTTAACAAAGTAAAGGTACTGTTCTATTCACTTGGGCTTACACTTTATGATATTTTAACCAATACTGTATCATTTTGTATGAAACCTAGCACACTTTTTGATCTGATTCTTCTGGAAAAATATGTGAGCCTATGGAGTTATGAAATGGATTGTGGGAATTAAAGTTCCATTAAACTGGGACCAAAATGTTCCTCTGTATAAAACTCACTGTAAAGAGTAAGATTAAACTTATGATTTTTTTCTACTAGCTCTGAATAACAGTCATATTTCATCTTTCTTTAGCAGAGAAACAACAATGAGTGGTTTTGAATTAATTCACTAACGAACTCAACTTTCACTTTATTTTCATTTTTTTATCCTGCTTAAAGCATGCAAAGCCACTAGATGAAGTCAAAAGGTGTTAGTTAAGGTCTGCCATGCAGTAAAATGTGTGGATTGTTGTCAGCACCTTCTGATTCCTTTACACTTGGCCACTGCCATCTAACATCTTATACAATCATCAATTTTTAGTGTTCAGTCTTTTCATGAGTTAAGGATATGATAAAACGAGATGGATTATGGAATGATTAAATTTTAATGCATTAAAGAGAAATGTTGTGTGTCAAAAAGAGAATTTACAAAAAAGTGATGACATCAGTGACACTTTTGGTGGTTTTAAAGGCCAAGGTTTGTAACTGAATTGTTTTTAAGACTTTTTCTGAACTCAGCCATTGTGTCAGGGTTTTAAAGAAAGCATTTTAGGAGCTAGATTTGAATAAAAAGATCTAAGAATTTTTATTCTAGGTAAATTACTGAGATTCCACAATAGTAATTTAAAAGTTAAATATTCCTCCTTTTGCTTTTTATACTAGAAATTATTAAAAGAGAAAAAATATTAAATAATTTCCTTTAATTACTGTATGAGACTTGAAAGTGCCTGAAATCATTACTTTTCACTCAAATTGCATACCAAACAAAACTGTGAATTAACCCTAATGAGCAACTCAGATATTGTCTGTACTCCTACTACAAAGAGGGAATTGGTACAAGAAGAAATGCCCCACACAAGTAGTCCTAGAATTATCCAAGTGACCATTAGGTTGATATTAAAAGTTATTTTTTCAATAGTAATATAGTGCTAATAACTATAGTCCTTCTATCAAATGCTTTAATGATTCAAATTTGAAATAAAGAATATGTGGAAGCCAGGCATGGTGGCATATGCCTGTAATCCCAGCACTTTAGGAGGCTGAGGCAGAAAGCAAGTACAAGCCCAGCTGGGGCAACTTAGGGATTCAGTGAGACCCTGTATCAAAATAAAAAGTAAAAGAAGGGCTGGAGATATATCAAAGCACAAAATATGGACTCCTTGCCTTTCAGTATTATTTTAGAATCGTGAAACATGGTAAAATACACAGTCATTCATATCTCTTTTACATGTCAATTATGGTTATTTTGCATGATAGAATGGGTTTTCTTACAACCCATAGTAACCCATAATATTTTGAACTATTTAACCAAAGAAATGCATATATCAAAATTAAATGCTTTTATAGCAATGGCCAACACATACTTAATGAAGATTTTGAGGAAACCCCTCCCCAAAATATGTAAAAAAAATTACACAAAATATTATCAGAGACCAACATGAATTGTAATTGTAAATTACAATTGTAAATCTTACAATTGTAAATATTAAGGGGAATACATTCTTGATCTAAAGCAAATGAGAGTGGATCCTATTTTCCTGTTTGTTGTAGTCAGGGGTTGCAAGGAGAACAATTACAAACAGGACATAGAATTTATAATATTATTTTATGATGGTGGTCGCCCAGAGTTAAATACAAGAAGGTGCAGGAAATATGTCCACAACACTAAAGACCTCCAAAAACCAGCCAAGAGCTCCATGACAATGTCCAGCAGGAGTCCAGCCCATGACAATACCTCCCATGAGTCCAGCTGGAGGCCTAGCGCCCACGACAAGAATTCATGTTGGTCTGTTTTATGGATCTGCACTGGGAAGACCCAAAGGTTAGTGGTGGAAGCTAGAAAGTCGTAAGCGAGTGGGATGAATGGTCTGTGCTAGTAGGTTGACACGTCTATACTGGATTCAAGAAGCAATGCTCAAAATAAGAATCAGGGCCAACTGAAAAGTACCACAGCCATTTTCAGGGACATTGAGGTCTCGAGCTTCTCCAACGATAACAATCAAGTACATGTCTGGAAGTCAGCATGACAAGCTTCTCCTGGAGATTAAACAGTACACATCTTCCCCTCCAGAGCCAGGAAGCGATGCTCAAGTTAGGGACCAGAGCTCCCCCAAAGTGAACCACAGCCACTGTCACCAACAAGGTTCGGAACTGCTGGTATGATAATGGCCGAATTCATATTGGGGAAACTAGTCACAACAAGCTCCTCCAGGAGAACAAATGGCTTCAAACCATTGGCACTTAAGACGACCCACAGTGCCCCACTCTTCCTCTCCACATCTCCTTTTATGCTGGAAACTTTCCTCAAGTGGGCCTTCTACACTCAGCACCATGTTGATTTAATTCAGCTGGTGTTAAGTTGACCACAAGTTTTTCAATAACACTGTTTATCAGAGTAACAAATTCCCTGTTTAGATCAGTTAATCTCAAGAAAAGAGTGAATCTACTTCTGAATAACTCCTTGTGAGAATCAGAAATAAAAATATATAACTTCTCTACTTTCACCTTGGTAAAACACAATATCTTACAGGATGTCTTCTAGGGGACAACCATTTGAACTTTTCCATAATTTCCACCATTTTGGGCAAGGTTAATAATAGTTCTCACTATTTAGAAGGTATAGATTCTTAGAAAATGTATTTGATGAACTGTTTTCATAACCTTAAATGCTTTTGTTGCCCTTATGAGGATTCCTTTCAGTTTATTTGGATTTTTTGCAAGGTGAAGCATTCAAAGTACATGAAATAATTATCTGCTTTCCTCCATCCAGCTTGCCTTTGTAAATACAGTGAAATTGTATTGCTTCCCATCCCCTTGGTGCCAAGACATAAAATGGATTCTTACCTTTTTTTGTTTTTCTTTGTTAATTTGGCCCTCTAGGTTCCCCCATTGTATTTTAGTACTTCTGATTGTTCTTCCCTTTCCCCCATCTCTCTTTCTTCCTCCTTCCTCTTCTCTTTCTCTTTCCTTTCTTCCCCCCCTCTCCCTTGCCATCATTCATTCTTTTCTATTACTATTGTGACA